AAGGTTATCTAGGTAATTTGGTGGGGACAGGTGATTTGGGGACCCTGCTCTTCCGCCATCTTGCCCCTCCCCGACTTTTGACTTTTTGAGTGAGTGAGTGATACCTCTACCTCTCCTGCTGTCTCACATACAGTGAATACATATTCAGTCTAGCTTGTTCCTTATGCCCTGAACATCTAGAATTTGAATGATAAGTTCTACTTTTCTTTACTGAGGTCTTTTTGCCCCTATAGGTTGCTCTTCTGGTTAGGAACTAATATAACCTCTTCTTATGAGGCCGACATCTTAGGCAATGTTAGCTCATCGCTGCCCCCATAAATTTTGCAACTGCTAATAGCCTAACACTGCTATAACTCTTCTGGCTCATCTGTTGGTAGCTAGCCATCCCTTTTCTTTCACTTGAGATTTCTCAGCTTAGAACAGACCATTCACTGTCACCTCAAACTGAGGGATTCTGCTGGGCCCCTCTAAGTAGGATTGAAGAGAAGATCAGGCATCTCCAGAGCCTCGATGTGGCAGAAGGGACACAGAACACTAACATCTAAAATCTTTCAGTCTGTTCTCTTCCTATACCTTTATGTCCTCGATGCAGTGAGTGGTTTAAGAGTTATATGCCTGTTTATTTGTGAAATCCTTTGAAAATTTGCATCTTGTTTGATACTCTGGGGGTATTGATTATATGTTAAGATAGTTCTGGGTAATAGGTCCAGACCAGAGATAGGTCTCACGGTATATTTATGTGTTCCCTTACTGAGAAAAAAATTTTTTTTTCCAATCAACTTAAGGGCAAATTACTGAAGGCATAATGCTTATGTTTTGCAACTCTAGGAAAGCAGAAGAATAAAGCATCAGGGTTCCTGATGTCTAGTTCTATGTGACTTTCTATGGTACTTTTCTTCTTAAATTCATTCATTCATTCTTTTTAATATTTTCTTTTTTAGATAATCTCTCTACCCAACATGGAATTTCAACTTATAACCCTGAGATCATGAGTTGCATGCTGAACTGACTGAGCCAGTCAGGCACCCTGCTTTAGGTACATTTCTTAATCTCTTAGGGACTGTTTTATCCTTTGTAAAATTGAGGCAATGCTAACCATCATTGTGGACATTGTGAAGAATAGAAGTGGTGTATGAAAACAAATTAGTTTAGTACCTGGCATATAGTGCATGCTTGTATATAGCGAAATGACTGAGTTACAGAGCATTATTTGCATTTGTTTGGACAGTACTGTAGACTGGGTAGCCTAAACAACAGATAATTTATTTCTTTAAATTTCTAGAGATTAGAAGTCCAAGATCAAGGTGTCATCAGGATTGATTTCTCGCCTTGGCTTATAGATATGGTTGTCTCCTTCCTATGTCTTCACATGATTTTCTCTCTGTGTATGCTTGTGTCCTAATCTTGTCCCATAAGTAATCCTATTGGATTAGGGACCACCCTAATGACCTCACTTTAACTTAATTACCTTTTTAAAGGCTCTATCTCCAAATATGGTCACATTCTGAGGTTGAGATTAGGACTTCAGCATATGAATTTTGGAAGGACATAGTTCAGGTTCATTCATTCATAATTCATGATTATTTAAAAGGAAACAAAGCCCTTGTTATTTATGGATGATGTGCTTATTTACGTAGCTGATCAAAAGGCTCTGTGGTTAAACTATTGGAGTTAATAAACGAATTTGTTAAGTTGCTAGATAAAAGGCCAATATACAAAAATCATGTTTCTGTAAAACAGTAGAAAACAACTAGAAAATAAATATGAAAAATATGACTTACATTAGCATCAAAACCACCAAATGCCTGGTAACAAATCTAATAAGTGATGTACAAGACCTTCTCCTCGAAAGAAAAAAAAAAGCAACAAAATATTATTTAGAAAGTTGAAAGAAATGAAAGAAGACCCAGCTATACCATGTAAATGGATTAGAGGACTAAATATTGTAGAAATATAAATTTTCTCAAAAAGATTCAGAGAGCAAATAAAATCCCAATAAAAATTCAACTGCAGATTGAGTTCTGTGAACATTGAGTTGATCTTAAGACTTATATGAACATTTAAAGTGTAAAAAATAGGCAGGAATAGCAAATTTGGCAAACTTCTATTATCAAATATCATGACTATAAAGTTGGAATAATTAAGGCAATATGGTATTCATGCTGTATCAAGGGTCCCCAAGACCATCCTCAGGTTTGATGATTTAGAAGGCCTCCCAGGACTCAGGTATAGTCATATTCATGGACATGATTTATTACAGTGAAATGATACAAAGCAAAATCAGGGAAGGGAAAAGACATGTGAGGTGAACTCTGGGAGGAAACCAAGTGCAAACTTCCAGTAGTCTCCTGGTGGAAACACATTTAATTACCCCAGCAAGTTATGACAACACATGTGAAATGTCCATCAGAGAAGCTCATTTGAAACTCCATGCCCAGAGTTTTTACTGGGGGTTTGTCATGTGCACATATTCTGTCAAGTACACATGCAGGTTCCAAACTCTAAAAGGAAAACAAGTGTTCAGCATAATCTACGTTGCTTGTACAGTTTAGGCACAGTGAGACATTCCTATCAGTTCTGGGAATGGTAGGAACCCTCCACGGATCTAAATTCTGCATTCTAGCCACGGGCTGCTCTTATGTGCAAGCCTATCAAAGGATAGCATTCTCAGGCCTGCTTTGCTAACTCTTTTCTAAACAGGTACAAAAATGGATAAATTGACAAATAGACTAGAAAACAAGTCCAGAAGTAGATCTACACATATTACAGTTATCTGATATATGATGAAGATGTCATTACAATATAGTAGAAGAAAAAAAGGCATTTTTAATAAACGATGCTGGATCACTTGGTTATCTAAGTGGAAAAAAGTAGATCTTGACACCTACTTTACATAATATCCAAATAATTCCAGATGGGTCAAAATAATAAAGCTTTTAGGAGATATCCTGGAGAATGTCTCATGACCTTGTAAGCAAGATGTTCTCAAAAGCTCACAAAAAGGGATCCCTGGGTGGCGCAGCGGTTTGGCGCCTGCCTTTGGCCCAGGGCGCGATCCTGGAGACCCCGGATCGAGTCCCACATCGGGCTCCCGGTGCATGGAGCCTGCTTCTCCTCTGCCTGTGTCTCTGCCTCTCTCTCTCTCTCTGTGTGACTATCATAAATAAATAAAAATTTAAAAAAAGAAAAGAAAAGAAAAAAAATAGACATGTAAATGGTGCCTACCGATGTCAGATTTAAAAAAAAAAAACTCACAAAAAGCACCAACTGTAAAGAAAAAAGATACATTGGACATCATTAAAATTGGGAGATTTGTTTTTTCAAAAAATAGCACTGGAGTGCCTGGATGCCTCAGTCAGTTAAGCAGCTTCCTTCTGCTCAGGTCCTGACCCCAGAGTTCTGGGATGGAGCCCTTATCAGGCTCCCTGCTCAGCAGGAGGGAGCCTGGTTCTCCTTTTGCCCCTCCTCCTGCTCGTGTGCATTCACGCTCTCTCTTTGTCTCAAATAAATAAAATCTTAAAAAAAAAAGGCACTGAGTAAAATAAGCCATGTAGTGGGACAATGCATGATAAATATTATCTTCAAAGGACTTGAATGCAGAGGATATAAGGAAATCCACCTCCAGCCCTGGAGACAATATGATATTAAAAGTACCAGACAGGGGGATCCCTGGGTGGCTCAGTGGATTGGTGCCTGCCTTCGGCCCAGGGTATGATCCTGGGGACCCAGGATCGAGTCCCGCATTGGGCTTCCTGTGTGGAGCCTGCTTCTCCCTCTGCCTGTGTCTCTGCCTCTCTCTCTGTATCTCTCATGAATAAATAAAATCTTAAAAAAAAAAGTACCAGACAGGTACTTCATGAAAAGGGATATCCCTATGACCAATAAACATACGAAGAGGGGAAGGGGAGATATATGAGTTTCCTATTACTGCTGTAACAAGTTACCACAGGCTTAGTGACCTATGACTGACTCCTTGGAATATACTCAACAGAAATGTGTACCAGTACTCATCAAGAGACATATTATTAGAATTCACACAGTCACACTTTTTGTAATAGTTCCAAACTGGAAAGTATGCAAATTTCCAATAGTAGTAAAATGAATAAATAAATTGTGGCATATCATGCAGTGGAATACTGAACAGCAATAAGAATGAAGAAACCTCCATTATTACTATGTGTAACCACATGGATGAAACTCCCAAATGTAACCAGAGTAAAAGCATCCAAGCACACAAAAGTACATATGGTATAATTGTACTTACATAAAGCCCAGAGTTAGGCAAAATTAGTGCATGGTGTTAGGAGTCATAATAGTGGTCTTTTTGGTGATGAGATCGCAGAGGAGGGGGCAATGGGAAGTTTTATCAGTATTGGCAATGTACAGTTTGGCTGGCTATACAGATGTATCTATTCTAAAATAATTCACTTACAATTTACGCACTTTCCTACATGTATGCTAAATTTAGTAAGAAGCTAACTTACAAGGTAAGTAAATAAATGTGCATGAAGTCTTTTTGAGAAATCTTTGAAAAATTATTATCTTATAAACTTTTCCCCTTCCCACTCCACTTGAAATCTGTACGTCAAAACATTTGTTTCCTTTTTGGAATCCTCACACTCTCCAGTTGAAGGCTGGGTCCGATTTTAAGTTAGCAGAGTCTGGAAAGTTGAGAATATCCTTTCAGGAAATGGATCCTTAATTGTGTGAATGTGTTTCACAGGTTACAAAAACAGGCTTGGTGGGAATTTTAGCTTCAACATTTCATCCAGTGCCAATTACACTTGACATTGAAACTCCAGTGACTCATCATCTCAGGTTGTGACAGTGAGATTAAGGGGAGTTTGGAAGTTCAGGCACAAAAGAGATCAGTTACTAGTAAGCCAGTTTCTGTGTTTTGTCTTTTTAACAATGCACATTTTCTTAGTTTGAACCCTGTGTGTGACTGAATATACTCTAAGATTTCATACTGTCCTTTAAAAGTTCCTTTTAGGCAGACCGCGCTGGGTTGCCGCCGCCGCCGCTGCCGCTATCGTGCCAGCCCCTCGGGTCTCAACAAGGCCGGGTGATGCTCCAGAATGGGAGACAAGCCAATTTGGGAGCAGATTGGATCCAGCTTCATTCAGCATTACTACCAGTTATTTGATAACGACAGAACCCAACTAGGCGCAATTTATATTGATGCATCATGCCTTACGTGGGAAGGACAGCAGTTCCAGGGGAAAGCTGCCATTGTGGAGAAGTTGTCTAGCCTTCCGTTCCAGAAAATCCAGCACAGCATCACAGCACAGGACCATCAGCCCACACCAGATAGCTGCATCAGCATGGTAGTGGGCCAGCTCAAGGCTGATGAAGACCCCATCATGGGGTTCCACCAGATGTTCCTATTAAAGAACATCAATGATGCTTGGGTTTGCACCAATGACATGTTCAGGCTTGCCCTGCACAACTTCGGCTGACCTCTTCCCAGCCAGGCACTCATGCTGTTTCCTCCTCCCTCCTCTTCCTGATAACTATTCACACTCCTCCAGATGCTCCAAATATCATACACAAATGAGCAGGGCCATGGTGGGAGCGGGCGCAGTGCGCTGCTACTACCGAGGTATTGTGCATGATGTTTGGATGCTAGAATAGTTGCATCTGACAGGAGAAGTTTGTGTTGTCCCAGCGCATGCCTTGGAAAGACTTAAGTAATGCAAAAGGTTGTCTTTTTTTTTTTTTTTTAATCTACTGACAAGTTGCTCTAGTAACCCAAAGAAGTGAAGGAGAAAGCAGCTGCCTCACCACCCAGATATTGACCGCCCAGATATTGATTTGTTCGGATGTTTCAATGGCTCATGATATAATAAAACCACAAAAATTTTCTTAACAGTTTAAAAAAAAATAAAAGTTCCTTTTATCTCACTGAACTTATTTGTTTGTCTATTTATTTATAAACTTACTTTAAGAAATGCTGTAGTGAAAGATACAGAAGAAATGGAAGACCGAACTCCTTTCCTTTGGAATTATTGAATCTGGATTTATGGAACCCTTAAGGATTCAAGTATCAGTCAGCCAAGTATCCAGTGTGTTGGGGGAGACCATATTTCTGAATCCGCATGTTTTCATAAAAGAAGACCTCCACTCAATTTCCTTAGTGGAGTTTCTGCCCTTCTCTCATCTACCTCAGCTTGGTGACTTATCTGCTTGATGAGATTAGTAGTACTGAGTCTGCAGTGGCTTGATTCCCTATCTTTCCTAGAGCATTGAGTAGGCTTTTATCTGTTGTCCAGTGGAGTATTTCTTGAAAAGGATGCTGTCTCTGCAGTGAGTTGGGTTTTTGGATGCTGAACTCATGGTCATAGGTAATACAAGGTTGGTTGTACCTACAGATCTAAGCCACCTTCTTTAAAATACCTTTGTCAGGGATCCCTGGGTGGCGCAGCGGTTTAGCGCCTGCCTTTGGCCCAGGGCGCGATCCTGGAGACCAGGGATTGAATCCCGCGTCGGGCTCCCGGTGCATGGAGCCTGCTTCTCCCTCTGCCTGTGTCTCTGCTTCTCTCTCTCTCTCTGTGTGACTATCATAAATAAATAAAAATAAATAAAATAAAAAAATAAAATACCTTTGTCAGTAATAAATCTTTTATTTTGATTTTTTTTTCTGTCTGTCTCTGCCTTTTAAAAAAATATTTTATTTTTTATTTGAGAGAAAGAGTGAGAGAGAGCATGAGCATAGGGAAGGACAGAGGCAGAGGGAGAAGCAGACTCCCTGCTAAGCAGGGGGCCCGATTTGGGGCTTGATCTCAGGACCTGGAATCATGATCTGAGACGAAGGCAGATGTTCAACCTACTGAGCCACTTAGGTGCCCCTATGTTTTTCTTTCTTGATTGGGCTCATTCCACTTTGATTTGAGTTGGCTACGTGTTTTAGTCTGTTTAGGCTGCTGTAATAAATTACATAGATTGGGTGACTTATAAACAACAAAAATTTATTATAGTTCTGGAGGCTGGGAAATCCAAGGTCAAGTTTTGGGCAGATTCAATGTCTGGTAAGGACTGTCTTTCCATATGGAAGAAATGGCAAGGTAACTTTTTGGGGTCTCTGTTATGGGGGCACTAATTTCAATCATGAAGGTTCTGCCCTTACGACCTAATTATCTCCCAAGGTCTCCACCTCCAAGTGCTGTTATGTTGGGCTTTAGAAGTTAACACACAAATTTTGGAGGACACAAACACTCGATCTGTAGCACCATACAATGCCCAGGAGTATGCCCTTCTTCCCATAAGGTTCAGATAACGTGGACATACTGTCTTGGACAGTTGAAAAGATTAAACTGTTAGAAAGAAAAGAAAGCTTTGATAAGTTTTAAGGAGGGGGGAAAAAAGGAAAGTAAGAAATATACAAAGAAAAATAAGAACAATAAGAGAATTAATTGTACATAGATGCTAAAATCAGGAGTTTGGTACCTCAAGACCCTTTCCTTGAGATTGGATCATTAGTACCTCTGCGCTTAATAAGTCAACAAGGAAAATGACATTCTTATTTTTCTGACCATATAGGTAAAACTAATGTAGAAAACTCTAGCAACACAATAGACCACACTTTTTTATTGTGACTTTTCCAGTTCTTGTCTGAATACTTAAGGTTTTATAAACGAAACAAATGCTGCCATAGATTAGCTTGCAAGAATGAACTTTAGACATATTTGACAATTCAAACTTTCAAAATAAGAATGTCAGTGACTCGCCAATACTAAAACCATTCTAGGAAGTCGTTTTGAATTCTGTATGTATATATACACTTTCTGACCTTTAGATATACCAAAATAATTAAAATAAACACTAAGAAATAAAAAAGAAGAAGAATCACCTGAAGTCTCTCTAGTAGGGTACACACTGAATGTTTTAGGAACCATTCTTTAGAGAAGGGGTGTGAGGGAACCTTTTGGAGTCCTAGAACCACATATTTTTATGTGGTTGGTAGTCACATGGTTATATACAAAGTAAAAATTCAAGCTGTACAAGATTTATGCATTGTACTGTATATATATTATATATCAGTTTAAAAATCTTCCAGATATTTCTTTCTCTCTACAATTTTACAGAAACAGAATTATTATCCATGCTGTGTTGATAGGATAGTCTTTCCTCCAGGGATCATATATTCTAAACTTTTTCCATAGCATTGTACTTACCTATATGTGTTTGTCTTAGGGAGTGTTGTGGCAAGATTTAGAATCTTATGAAAGCTGGCTTAGGGAAAATATGAGAAAGTTATAGGTATTCTCACAGCATCCCAGAACAATTATATTTCTTATTTTTTAACTTCTTCATTATCTTTAAGCCAGTCTTCTGAGCCTTCCCAATTTATCTTACTTTCTATAAATTTGGTGATCTTAGAATTTCATCAGTCCTAGAGAGTAGCTTCGTGGTTTCTATCAGTTTTCTCACTTAAAGGGCCATTTCATGAGGTCTGTGTCTTAGGATATAGATGATCCATGGAGTTTGCTGTGTGAGTATTCTGTATTACCCAACGTAGCTATGCCTGCAAACCAGGAAAATAAGTACCAGAGAAAGTGATATACATGTTGTTAACAAATAAAAATATTGGTTTAACTATGTGGGAAAATGGGCAGAAATAGCTTTCATTACCATCTTAGAAATTCATTCAGTGGACGTTTCTTGATTGGGAATCTAATGTGTGATTGGGAATAAGTGACATTGTAATGGATGCTGGAGACACAGCAGTGAATATGACATACATACTGGACCTCAGTGAACACAGTCCAATATAAAGTGGATGGTAGAGTATGGCTGTTGAAGCAAGTTTCCAAGATGGATGTTTCCTGATTCTGTGATTGCCCAAGGATGAGAGGTCTACTAGGGCACTGAGGGCAGTGATGGACGCCAAAAATGAAGAATTTGTATTGTTAGAATGATAAAAAAAAAAAAAGCAGAGGTCTAAAAACCTGGAGAAGCATTTGGATATTGGTAAAAGATAAAGCAAGCCAGTAGAAGATATTGAAGCCAAGGTTTGAAGCTAGAGATTTGAGGCCTGGTTTACAAAAAGAAGAGAATCTGGAGTAGAAGGTGACGGGTGAATTAAAATCATGAAAGAGAGTAAGGAATGTAAAGCGAAGCCCAGGTAACTGCTGGTGTTTGAGGTGAGTGCATTGGGCTAAATGGCCAGTGGAAGAAAAGAGAATACTCAGGATGAAAAGAACATGTACAATAAATGTGATATATAACTCTGGAACCCACAAGAACCAGTGATTAGGTGTAGTTTTATCATAACAGCAGACAGATTCTAAGTACCAGATTTATTGAAAAGATTATAAAAGATTTGCCTAGTAGATGCATAAACAAGGTTGGTGATCTTCTCCAAAGAACATACATCTTTTGGTATTTTCTTGGGTTCCCACCCCTGTCTACTTGTGTTACATACTGAATAGAAACAGCTACATGGGTCTTTTCATTAACAGGATATAAATGCTTCTGAAGATGGATTAAGAACACAACATAAAATATAACAAAATATTGCCAGTTGGCAGCTGGTAGGTTGGTCTGGTTTGTTAATTGTTCCAGAATAAGCCTCTTACTGTCCAAACTAGAAAAATGTGAAAACCAAACAAAATTATGGCCCAAGATAGGATACTTAATATGATCATTAAGAATGAGAAAGGACATTTGAAGAAGTAAAACACAAGTTAATGACTTTTTGGTGAATGTTCATGTTTAATATAATGGCTAATGGACTCACCTCTACTAACCCCTAACCTGATGTCTAAGCCAGATATTTAGCATGAAAGAAATGCTAATCAGCTGTGTTGAATTTGGTCCCAGTGGAAATTTCATTTCTATTGTTTCTTAGAATAAGTGGATTTATGTTGGCTTCCATTATTTAAGGAAATGCTTTGATTCCTTCGTGCTTTCCAGCCAAAGACACAGGGAAGACTTCCAGGGTAGGAAGCAAGCTGTGTGTGTGTCTCTGTCGCAGACTTGGACAATTATTAAGAGTTTTAAAATCAGAACTGATGTGGGAAAATGGAAGAAACGTTCTGATGAAAGAAGCAAGTAAAACCCAGAAATCTGCTACTGTAATTTGTCGAAATTTTAATTCTATCACTTTGCATTCCATGTATAAAATACATGTATTTTTAATTGATTTTCTTGTTTATAATAACTTATTAGAGAGAGATAAAGATAGAGGAATAGAAAGCTCCTATTGTGCTTATATGCCAGGGAAGTAATTTTGGTGTTATCAAATATAGGCATTTCCTTATATTTGCTTTATAATCAATTTGTAACATCATGTACATACAACAGTTTCCCATATCCACTGCTTTAGGTATATAAGTGTGGAGATGGAGAGAGAAAGAGGGAAATTGACTCCTACTAATCAAATTCCTGGCGCAGGTGGGCTGGGCCTCCACACCTTTGTACTCTCACCTCTACCTGGAATACTGAGTCTCCAAACCAGCTCGGAAGTGTTTCTGTTCTGTTTCCAGCTCCTCTGTGTGTTAGTTGCGTTTATGATTAGGCCAAGCAATATAACACATGGTGGATCTCTAATGTATCATATCTGCTAGCTTTCTCATTCTAGTAGGCTATATCTTCATAATGACAGATCCCGTGTCACAGTGCCTGCCCGTACTATGTGAGCAGTAAGTGCTCAACTGATCCACAATTTTTGAAAAGTTTCATTTTACTTGTGTTGTTCCCCATCCACTTAGTTTCCCTCTATTTTTATATTATTTTTAAAGAATATTTATTTATTAATTTTAGAGAGAGAGAGGGAGGGAGAGCTTGCATGCATGGAGCAGGCTTAGGGAGGAGCAGAAGGAGAGGGAAAGAGAGAATCTCAAGCAGAGCCCACCAACATAGAGCTCAGC